TAATACTACTGAATACACTGATATTCAACAATTCAATCCTGCAATAATAACAACCTAATTCAATTATATAAGTTGATATTACGTTATCTTCATTTTGTATATTTTTCTCAGCAAAATCGTGCACTCAGCGTGTTAAGAAATTGTGAATACCGATCGTTCCGTTTTTCCATTCTCATTTGACCGGTTGCCTCGTGTTAACACTAGGTTTACGGGCATTTATAGTACACTTCATTCTATTATTCCTAAAAGAATTGATGCTCGTTTATTTAGGTTGTAGAAACTGGAGATTTGATAGTAGGTAATTGGGGTACATATCAGTGTGATTGCATCAATCAAAATCGGCGTAAACATTTACAAAATAATGTTTCTAAAATTCAATATAAACCTAGTGCTAAGATGGAAAAACAGCTCTGGTAGTATCCGATTTCAGTAGTAAGTTCAGTTTGCGTGGAAATTCTCTTAACAAGTTCCAGCGTCAGCGAGTTAGAGAAATAACTTGTCTTAGCACGCGGTTGACGACCGATTTGCGGAGCGTTCACCGAGTTCTCAGCTTAGCTGCGAATAATATTCCACGTTATTTCAAATTTTGAATCTTCACCTGTTATTGCGCATTGCGAATGCCCGAGCCGCGAATTCCTTCGGGTCTTCATATCGAGATCGCCGTCGTTCCTCCGCGCGGTTTTTTCGCGACGGTTGCTATCTTCGTTTTCCGTGAGATTCTTAACGAGGAATGCGACATTGAAGAAAACGGAATGCTCTTATTAAATTAAACAGCGCGGCCGCGCAGCTCGCCGCGAGACACGGCCGGCCGGCCGAGCGTCGGCTCTGAAATTTCCAGGGAAATTCGTCCCGACCGAGCGGTCCAGATTTCGCGACAAGTCTCGCGTTATTCTAACCTGAAACGTAAACGGGGTCGGCGGCCGAGGCGGGAGTCCGATGTTGTGCAAAATGCGGGGAATGTAATTCAAAAAACGGAACCTTATTACAGCGGTCATGGCGGGCGTACGGCCGCGCCGCTTTAACAGGCCGAACGGACGACGGACGAAAATGCGGTACCGGCGAAAAAAGGGAGCGGAATCTGGATTCGTGACATCGTGAAACTGGATTCCGCTTCATTTCCATGTAAAATTAACGGCGGCCAAGCTTAAAAATTCGGATCCGCCCGCCGCGGCGCGGCCCGGCACGCTGTTTTCTCTGGAAATTACGTTTCGGGAACGTGAATCTGCTCCCTCGAACTGCCGAATACGGTTTAAACCCGCGTCCTCGACGACCGCTGAGCGATGAAACCGACTTTTCGGATCTGGATAGACAGGGGACATCCGGAATACTTGGTTTTGTTTTTGTTCTTCGTACTTTACGGGCGAGCGTGCGCTTGCGAATACCTTTCTACTTGAGAGGGAGATTAATCTTTTGATGGTTTATTTCTCTGATGTACTCGACACAACTGCTTTGTCGTTAACAACTCGTTGAGAATAAGAGGAAAATTGTGTATATTCTGTGTCTATGTTGCTTTGAAGTAGAATGATTGGCGACAGGAGAATGTTTCATTTCAGACGTTAGGACCTCGATGATCGACAACATCAGATTTCTCGTAGCAGATCTAACGATAAATATACACCTTATCTTTTCATCTCTGTTTTATTTAATAGTACGTCATATCATTCGATGAATCATCGATCTCCAAAGAAGCGAAGAAATTCGTTTTCCACTTACAAGTTCCCTCGGTTTTCCTTGAAATTCGACTCCAACTTTTGCCAGGCCCTTCGCTTCGTATTCCTCGCGTTGTTAATTTTTGACATTGTAAGGCAGGGAGTTGACGATCCTTCTAAGGACCTCGATGATCGACGACATTAGATGTCTCGTAGCTGATCTAACGATAAATCTTTTTATCTCTGTTTTATTTAATAGTACGTTATATCATTCGATGAATCAACAATCTCCAAAGAAGCGAAATTCGTTTTCCACTTGCCAGTTCCTTCAGTTTTCCTTGAAATTCGACTCCACCTTTCGCAGGCCCTTCTCTTCGAATTCCTCCCGTTGTTCGTATGAAGCGGGACCCGTTGATTACAAGACGTTAACCTCCGTTCGACAATTGGCTGCGCACAAAGTCCCGATTAATCTCCGCGCGGTGCACGAAGCGTCGGCTTCATTTCCAGAAATACGTGTCCCGTCGCCGACAGCGCGCAGCCCTCTCAGCCCTCTCGCTCTCTCAGACGTCGAAGAATCGCGCTGACGTCACACGAATATATCATAGCACGAAGAAGCTGCCGCCCGGCGAGCCGTGTATATTGCCGGCGCAGACAGAATCGTGGCAGCCACTGTCACGGAAGCAGAGGCAGAGTCAAGAATTTAGTTTGCTGAAACGGAAGACCTCCTCGTAATGAGTTTCCTATTAGATTTGGTCGATCGGGTTGCCAGGCAACTGTGCTGGAACTTTCGATCCCTCGACCTGGACCTACGACGTTCAACGCGACGCTTTTTTTCACGTTGCGACGCTTCCTTCCGCGAGATACCGTGGAACCTCGATTATTCGATTTAATTGCGCCCTCGATAAGGTAAGGGGAGACTCGAAGGAAAAGGGTTTCGAGCTTGTAAGATTCGATCGTACGTATTCTGAGGTGTGATCTAAGAATTCTGAATACTGATCGCGCATTTTACGTGAACGTGTGGTAACCTTTTCAAATTGACACTCTCGTGAAGTATAGAATACTTTTGAACAATGATTGAATAACAGTGATCGTTTATAATTAGATTGTACTGAAATGATCACTGTTACTCAATCATTGCGTTTAAAAAGTATTCTATACTTCACGAGAGCGTCAACTTCAAAAGGTTACTACAGGCTCACGTAAAATGCGTTCGTTTATAACTAGATTCTAATGAAACGAACACAAAGAGAATGTTAGAAGGAAGAAGGTAAAGTCAGAAAACGCGTCATCAAGTCAAACGGAAGATCTCCCTTATCGGTTGATAAGGTAAGCTCGAGTATGACGAAGACTAAACGATTCAGACTACCAAATGTCGCCGAGACACACGGTTTCCACAGAAAACGAAGTTCACGGAGATCGTGTTTTTCGTTTGACACTGGCAGCAGGTGAACACTGTTGCGACTGTTTAAAAACAGCCGACTAAACGAGCAATTTTCGCTGGCGATGCTCCAAGGATAGATGTTTTCCGGCTACGGGGGTAGCTGACGCGAAACGAGTAACTAATTTCACCTGACTCCGTAGGGATACACGGCCGCCATGCTAATGACTACGCTCGTCCCATCAGGGTGGGGTTGTAGCTGCGTTCGCACCCCGCCGACATCAAGTTCTCTACGCACGTAATTAAGGCACCGTTCGAAGCGCTAACGATCAGCTTCTGTGTCTCGTTCCCGGCCGGGCGGGCTGAATTTCCAGAAACCGGGCGACAAAGTTTAACTCGCTCGCGTTCGTCAAGGGATCGAAATTAAGACCCTCTCCCCGGAATATTGTCTGTTGCTCCACGGGGCTGGGGCGGGAAACAGGATTTTCTTCGTCGTCGCTGGCTATCTAACCAGGTTTTCCACCCTTCTTTGTGGGATAATTGGGAGCTGTTCATCGCGGGCCGAGGAATTTCTTGATTGTGCCCTGATGGAACTCTCTGATATGTGAGCCGGGACGGTAACGCGTTGATTATCTCCTTCCTTGCTCCCTCAAATCTCTTTCTGTGATCTCGTTCCAGCGAATTTGTCACAGTGATATAATAATTTCCTCGGCAGTGAACTCTGAACCGTGCTCGCAACCCTGCCGTCTCGACGTTGATATCCTCTCATTCGTGATACACGCTAACAGATTCTTCTACGTTGAATATTACGATCAGTGTCTTCTACCGTGCATGTAACAGGAATTGCTATCCTTAACACTAGAACTACCGAGCATTTAACCTTTTGCGCTACAACAACGAATGAGACTCGTGAAAATTTTCAACGTGATTCAACAAATACATATATTACTTAGTACATTCGAATTCAAAGTAAATATTATTCCTCTGTAATCAGCTATTATACTTAAAAGGAAATATAGGCATAACATATGCTTAGGATTTTTCTCTTTTTCCAATAAATTATTAATGACAAGGTAGCCGTATCGATCCGAGTTGAGAAAGAAATCATAGGCCAAGGGGTTAATACGATTGATGTGTAATCTCTATAAAAATTGTAACAATAGATTATTTTCAGTTTCTTTGGATATTCATCATAGTACTCGAGTAAAACTATTTATTTCCAAAAGCATTTCAAATATTCAATCCTTTTAAGATATTAATAACTGCGAAACACAAATTCAAACCAGTTTGACTGGTACGGTAGTTCTAGTGTTAACTGTGAAACTCTAAAATTCCAAAAATTCCCCTAGATTTTAGACACCAGAATAAAACCTCCTTTTATAGTGGAAAGGTTAGTTGTGATGGTTAGCAGAGTTGCAGTTAGAAAAGTCAAAGTGACTCTAAGTCCAGTTGAATATCGGTATCTGTTAACCCTCTATGGGCCGAATTTTTGTTTGTGATTATAACAAAATCTATGCAGTGTAAAATTAATAACTATCCACATATGAATACGAATTAACAATGTATTCAATAGTTCCAATAATTTCTTCAAACGAGTATATTTTCTAACTTTCAAGTTACAATGACGTTAAACTTTCACGCCTGAGCGTATAAAAGTTAACTGATTACTTAATTTTAATCACCACTTTGAGTGCAAGATGAAATAAATCAACAAGATTCCAATATATTAACAAGTGACTTCAGAGTTACATGGGCCTACAGAGGGTTAACTTACATATGTTTATCACACTATCGTCTCTATGTATAAAAAATAATTTTCCAAAGATTGTTAGCCCACCAAGAGCAGGTCTAGAGACTTCTAATTCGAGAGCCAGACGATCTTCCGCGAGCGTTAGGGTTAAAGATTGAAGAAGATTGGAAGCAATTAGAACGGCGGATACTTGACCAATCGAAGGTAGCGCGGAATTACTCACCCAGGATGCCGAGTCTGTAATTGATGGTGACAACAACGACACTTCCGTAGCTGGCCAACACGCTGCCGTCGTAGGGGTTGCCGCTGCTCCATTCGTAGCTCTCGCCGTGCACGAACACGATCACCGGGTATCTCCTTCCGCCGCCGTCCCTCGCGCCGGCTGTAATCAATAAAATTATCTGGTGATCGATCGGCACCGCTGACACTTGATAGTTCCCGTCGCGCATCCTTAAACGGCCATTTTTCAGGGGCGTCGCTCTGCGAAGTTTTGACAGCGCCGTAAAGGATTATCAGCGGAGCTCGGTGGGGCTCGCGGCGCTGCGCCGACCGAATAGTTGCTCTATTTGGCCAACAAATTATCGGAGGTCCTGCTCGAAACCGCGTGCCCGCCGCTCGCGACGCCTTTGCGGCGCCCAGTGTTTCTCAACAGTTTCGCCGCGGCGGGTAATGAGAAACATAGTTTCGCGACGGGGCGCCGGAGTAATAATGGCACTTTCGCTTCGAGCGCCGCACCGCGTTGCCCCCGGAACTTTTGCTACACTGATTTCTCTTTGTGGAACTGCAGTCTTTATGGCTTCGGAACGCGCTACTTAATTTCCCGCGTGATGTTCGCCGCGAGTTGACGAACACGGAACTTCGTACCGGAATCGAAAGTTAACTTCCGCGCAACTCGAAGACGCGTGTACGCTTGATTGCTAGATAGAGGATCTTTCGCGTTTGAATGATAATGCCTGCTTCGTTTCGAATGTTTGTCATTTAACGAGTCAAGAACATAACCTTCTTCGTAACGTACTTAACACTAGGTTTACGGGCATTTATTGTACACTTCATTCTATTATTCCTAAAAGAATTGATGCTCGTTTATTTAGATTGTGGAAACTGGAGAAATCGGCGTAAACATTTACAAAATAATATTTCTAAAATCCAATATGCGTTAATTTGACGCGTTCCGTAAACCTAGTTAACCTATATTTAACCCTTTGCACTCGAGAATATTTCTCTCAATAAATATTCATTATTTTCTGATGAAATTAATATTTTTGCAATTCACATAAAGAAATACCTTGCATAAATTAAGTGACAGAACCTATTTCGATGCTCCATGTATTCTTACATTATATAAAATTTAATATTGAATTTTCAATTTAAGGCGCCTCTCGAGTGCAAAGGGTTAAAATATAGAAATTCTTTCATTGGTATTCAACGTTTTCTGATGATAACATTCTTTGAAAGTAATTTTGTCATTATTTCACGTATCGATGCATTATACAAAGCTTCATATTAAATATCAAACTTTATAATTTTGCTATATCGAATTGCACTGAGTCACCTTTCTAATAGAAAGGTTAATTTGTGATTCACGGTGTTACAAGTGTCACGATTATAACGTCGCCTCCGATCGACGACGGTTTTTCACATTGTCGCAGCATCGAGCCGCGAGGAACGCGCGCTAAATTTCCCACGCGTTCCGATGAATACCGTCTGAACGTGCGGGCCCGAGGAGAATTATTTCACCGCTGGTCAGGCTTTTCTTGCCCGCCGACCCATTCAACCCTTTGATCCGACGAGTGTCGATTTATCGACCCTTGAATGTCGATTTATTTTTCACGGTTCTGTCGGCGGCTGAAAGTGGAGTGGCGGCATTGTGACACTGGTTATTAAGCCCCTTTGACGGTTCTTTCTCTCCTCTGTCCGCGGAGTGTCGCTTTATGCGCCATTTCCGTGATTGGTCATTAAGGGTGCTTACGCCGGATCTCAAGATCAAGACGTCTTTGCAGCCGGTGCTTCTAATGAGGGCTCCGCCGTCCACGAATTTGCTTCTTCGATGCTAATAATTTCGAACGAGAAGCCAATTAGAACGCGACTCGCCCGCGGAAAACGTCCTTCGAACGCTTCCGCAGAATTCCGAGGGGACCGGCTTCCATTCACCGAATTAATTGCATTACCCGTATCATTCTTGACGCGAGTAATCCCCTTCGACGAGCTTCCTTGTCTCCGATTCAATCTGCCAGCGGTTTCTTCTCGATATTTTGCAGGCGTTATGACGCGTCCCTCTCGTTAATAATAATAACGACGATAATTATAACGATTCCCGCGTTCGAGGGCCATCGAGTCGAGCGCAAGACGGCCACTCGAGAGATCGCATCGCATCGATGGCGCGGGATATTGATCGGCGAACTGCGTGACTGGCTCTCTCCGTCGTTTCACCGTATTTCGGTCGACAATGCGCGAATGAATTTGAAATAATAAGAAAAGAGGGACCCTCGCAGCTTCACGGTCCAGCTGGTTCTCACACTGGCCGAGTTCGACGTTAAAATTTTTTATACGATCGCGGCTCTTTAGAATACGGACCCGGGCAAAGGAAAATTATTGGCCGGGTCGTTCTACGCTGGAATTTTCGCTGAATGTAGACTTCCGGCGTATTATCGGAATCTGATAAAAAATGTTCGGCATTAAATTGATGACATATCGAATATAGAAAAGGGGATTCTATTAATTAATTGGCACAAGACCGGCTTGCCGATTAATTAACTCGCGCACGGTCTCCGATTCTTGAAAACTTTCACGTCCTGCACCCTTTCGATCGGAAACAGAAAACGGCTGCCATTAGCCGAGTTCATTCCAGTTTAACAGTCGACAACGTTTTAGATTCAGCTGGTACGCTCGACAGTTTCTAAACTGGGCGTCAGTATTATTAATTACAGACTTCTTTATTTGGAACAAACATAAAGATAAATACTAATAAAAACCTGTGATTCATGTATTCGTTTCACCGATTCTGTTTTCGTAATGCAAGAGATAAATAAGCGAATAACGATATTAAATTTTCCCCGTGATTATGGAACAATTTAAAATCTTTTTCCACGCTAATTTTAATTTTTTCATTATCCCCTGAAATATCCGAATTCTCGCGAAGAGTTAGCTGCAGTTAATTCGAGCCGCGGTCTAATTAAAATATCCACTCGTTTGCCGCGCTCACCGCGAGCCATCGCGGGCGAAAGGAGGGTACCATTAACGACCCTCTAGTTAGGGTATTTTCGGTGGAGGACATTCGATCGGTCGATCGTGTCCTTCGAACAGGACCGGACGAGCATTATCTGGGCGACACGCGACGTATCGCGTTCGAGGTAATTAAAACGGGGACCGGTGGACGCGAGCGGAGTACGTCAATCGGATTTAGTATGCTAATACGGAGCCGGAACACGCGCGAGCATGATCGCTGCGGCCGCCACCGGCCTCGGTCATAATTCAACAAATCACGCGTTACCGCCGCCTCTATCGACAATGCTGTTCATACGATGCCATCCTGTTTACTTTCGCCGCGGTAAACAAGACGCGAGGGAAACAACGCCGGGGGAGAGAGGGAAAAAAAGTTTGTTGCCTCAGCATCCACTATTTGAATTGCATCGATTGCGCGGTGTTATCTTTCTATCGCCGCGATCGTCGGGAGGCGACGACGTAATTGCAGCGAACTTTGTCGCGATTTTTTCCTTTTTTGTTGATTGTCGATTTTATGTTCTATGGTTTCATAACTTTTGCGGTAGATTATGGTGGATTTGTAGCTTTATTCAAGGATTTGTGCTCGTACTGTTTCATTAGATTTATGTTAGGCAGGCGATTATAGTGGCTTGGGAACGATTTTCTCTTTTTCATTTGATCGTTGGTCTTATATGATACAAGTTCATAACTTTTGCAGTAGATTACGGTAGATTTATAGCTTTATTCAGTAATTTGTGTTCGTAGTCTCATTAATTTATATTGGACAGGTGATTATACTGGCTTGTAGTCGCGACTTTTCTTCTTCGTTGATCGTCAATTTAACATTCTATAGTTCGACAACATTTCTAGCGCACTTTGAACTCGATTCAATAATCCACCTGTATAACCTCATCAAACTTGGAGTTGACAGGTGATTAAATCGACTCTGGAACACAATATTCTCCTGTTTTTCGATCGTCCACCGAATACTCCATAATTCAATGACTTTTACAACAGAATTTCTTGATCAAATAATCTGCGTTCATAATCTCGTTACATTGGACAGATGATTATAACAACCTGGAGAACGCTATTCTATCGGTTTCTGTAATTTGTAGTTTAACGTTTTACAACTCTGAAGTGTTCACAGGATCTCCATAACACGGTACAACAGCCTTTGTCCACATTCGGATTGTTCAGCGTCGGAAACGTGATTATAACGAGCAAGGAACGCGATTTTGTATTGTTTCATCGGTTCCATCTCTCCCGCCGTTGGGAGAGAGCTCCGTTGAAGCTCTCTTCATCGTCTGGTATAACTATTAAAATCGGTATAACAGGATTACGAGGTGGCAGTGCTACTTCCTACTTCACAAGACGCTCGAAGCGATCAATGGGAGACTCTTTGATAGCGTAAATTGTGAAATATCACAATCAGAGCGTAACGGAGAACTGCTTCCCTTTCACCGAACTTTCCGTAATTTCCTCGCTTTCCCTATGCCGGTCGGCGTCCTCTCGCGCCCCCGCGGAGCTCGTCCCGCTCGTCGCGCGTCGCCTCCGCCCACTTTTACATTCGCGAAACGGAAAGTCAGCCGTAAAGAGGAGTTACCACGTGCCGAGTCCACCTTCGCGCTCCTCGAATAAAAGTTCCGTGTCGGGAAGCCGGACGGAAGCAGCCTTGATTAAATATTTAATATAGTCCTCCCGCCGATTCCCTTCGCTTTATTAACTTATCAATTTACTCGGAGGAGAAAAAAGAGGGAATACGGTTAATAAAACTGGGCCAGCCTTCCAAGGAAGCACGATATCACGGGAGAACCGACGCGAACTCTTCCTTTGTAGTGTTCCCCGCGAGGAGAGGGAGTCGCCGTTTTGCGAATAATTACGCAAACAGTTCATTTTCTCGAAAGCGGGCAAACAGGAAGGGAGGAGGGACGGGGGCGGCGCGTTATAGAGCGGCCGCACTCGTCCGAATAAGAATCTCTAATGAAATAACGGTCCCCGCGATAACTTATCTTTCATATCTGTAATTGCCCATTTCTCAATCCTTATTTCCTAGTTAGCTCCGGCCGGAAGTTCCGCTTTCAACCCCCGCCGAGGCCGCTCGCCGCTGTGTATTTCCTTCTGATTGCTTTCCCGGTTGCTCGAGTTTCCCTTTGATCTACCTCCTTCCACCGTTTCTTC